GCGGCGGGAGCGGCCGCTGCCCCCCCCCGGGCAGAGCCTGACCCCAGGACCAAGGGGTAGCAGAGGGCGGTGGTGCTGGAGGAGCAGCGAGGGGCTGGGGGCGGCTGTGGCTCACCCCGAGATACAAGAACACAGAGCTCCTGCTGGGGAAGGGGACACAGGTCCTGTGAGGAGGCAGAGGAACAAAAGCTCTGAGCAGGGGGATGATCTTACCTGGGCAGCTTGGTGCTGGCAGCATAGCAACTCGTAGGGGAGCTCAGGGATCACTACAATCAACGATAAGATGCTATGATAAAATCTGACCCACTAACACAAGATGCAATGAAAAAACATACATAAATCTGCTAACAAACCTGCCTGCATTTTATTTAGGTTTCTAATGCAAAGAGCTACAGGTCAGAACATCTTCCAGCCCTCTCTCAAGCTTGTAGCACCTATAATGGGGGAGCAGGGCCATATTTATCAGGGAACACTGTAATTGGAGCCGCGCAACAGCTGGGGCACCCAGGTGAGCAGTGGGTGCAAAGCAAGGCAGGACGTGAAGCAGCAGCTTCAAATAGGGGTGGGCGAGCAGAAAGCAGAGTGGGAAAGGGGATGTGGGAGTGTGAGGACCTTAAAAAGTCAGGCTGTTGAATAGCTTAAAGGTAGGGATTAGAAGGTGAGAATATAGGGGGGACTGAATAACTTCTATAAAGTGATCTGAATAGTCCGGTGCAGTTAGAAGAGCTCTGCCTGAGGAAGGTGGCAGCTAAAGCGTGGAGGGCTTTACAGAGCTGGCAGCGAGAGCCCTGCTTCTGCTCTGACCTTGCAGCGCAAAGCCCTGCCTGGAAAGGAGTGAATGGTTCCTCTGGGGAGCTGAGAGCACTGGGGCACACAAGGCTGAGGAAATAGCCTCAATTTTACTTTACAGTAGGCGAATACTGTGTTTATTCAGCAGGTTTTTTGTTGTCATAGGAACTCGGAGGCAGGGAGGTGCTGAGGTCGGGCTGTGCGAGCGGTGCTGTTTAAACCGCCAGATCTTCCCCTCCCAGCCCGTGGGAATGTGCTGTTCTGGGTCAGCTAAATCCGCATCCTGAGCAGTGCCGGAGTACAGCAGCCGGGGTGGAAGGGAGAGATCCGGCTCTCGGTCCTCTCACGTTAACTCCTTGCTCCTCCGCTGCCTGGCTCTTTATTAATAGCCCGGCATGGCTGCGGGTGGGTTGGGTTTCACGATGAGCGCAGGGAGAGTGACAAAGCGCCTGACACTGGAAGGGGATGTCGCATCGGAGTAGGTGGCTCTGCTGGAGCCCTGCGAAGATCCAGCCAGGACACCCATCTGCCGGCAAAGCACAGGACGGGGAAGAGCCACGCGTGGGCAGGGCGAGCCTGTCTCTCCCACAGCCCCATCTCGCCGCTGCCCCTCTGCCTCCCGCAGCCGGTAAAAGACTTTCCCAGGGCGGCTTCTCTCGGGCCGCCGCGCTGCGCGGCTCCGGCTCAGCCCCCGGGGCCGGGCTGGCAGCTCCCGGCCGCGTTTCGGGTGACTCCCCTCGGAGGG